GTACAGCCACTACTCGATCTTGCCAAACTCTCTCGCTCAAAGTGATCTCCAACCTCTGGCAGTTACTAGAAAAACGCTGGCGAATTCCCTTCTAACGCCCGATTTCGTTTCGTTGACATCTCGGAAATTGGTTTTCGATATGAGCCGCGATGTAGGTATCCCATTGTTCCTTGTGCATGCGACAGCTGCTCGAAAAATGCGTCTTGCATCGCTTATTGTTTTTTTTTTCCTTTCCCTTTTGACATATGTACACTTTTCGCAACAGTACACTTTTGCGCGTTTAAAAAGTTTGGTAAAAGGAACCTAAATTATAACCAGGAGAGTCGAAAAGAAATTCCGCGTTTAACTTAAATATTCATTCGTCATCGGAAAATACTCAAATTCAAAACACAAGAGTAAAACTGTAACGTTGTTGTATATTGAAATGATATTCAATATTTGTGTCAACGTTATTTGCTGTTGTCACAAACATCCGTTGCTGCATTCTTGCAAAATACATTTACGATACTGCGTATTGCAACTATCTTGCAACTATCTGCGTTTCCATATATATTCGAATCATCTAATTCCGTGATAATTGAAATTGGCAACGAAAATAAATTACCATGCATCTATGTTAATCGATAATTATTAAATTTTTTTATCTATAGAATTTTTTTATCTATATATTTCTCTCTCCCAATATCGATCCCACATATATATTCTAGTTATACAGAATTTCGTGAAATGCGGTATCTCTCTCACGGATATCCTGTACTCGTATTTTAACGCAATGCGAAATCATTAGAGGGGAACGCTTTGGAAAAGCGCATGTTAACTACGGACCGCAACGCAGCGTCGTTCACGAGCAAAATTTTGAAGAAAATTAACGCTCTCCGCCCGAAGTTGCGTCGTCTACCGTGTCCAGGTGTACACGGGCCGTTGCGCGGAGCTTGCGAAAGCAGCCGGGGGCTAACTCTTCCGCAAGCTCGCTCGGGTCTACGAGCCGTGTCGGTGTCGCTCCGCGCCGCGCCACGCCGTGCCGTGCCAGGGCGAAGTGCATTCGATGTTCGCAGTTCGCTGCCATGGCAACAATCCCCTACAAACAAAATGCATCGTGTGCACACGACATGGCACGGTTTTCCTTGTCGCACCGAAGGTATACCCACCCGCCGTGCGTTTAGTCCGCCACGGAAGGAACCGTTGCCGGGGTGAAGAAATGCCACCGGACAGGACGAGACACGACTGTAAATTCCGAGCGTGGCGAGTGTCGTAGGGGACGGCAAGCCCCGTGTGCTTTGCGAGATAAATCGTTCGGCTAGCTCATGCACTCGCACGGCTGCCGGGAGTGTCGAAAGGGGACACCGGTGAGCACGCGATCGGCGCCGATGATTAACGGTCGATTAAAGATAAGCGCCGACTGTTCGTTTTGCTACGTCGACATGCCGGCGAGATGTTGTTACGTGGTTAACGCTTTCGCGATCGATACAGTCGATGCGTACATTGTTGAGCGAGTTTATCGATTAATTCGGAGAGCAATGAGTTTTCTGTTTAAACATCATGATATTGTGACTAATTAAATAATAATTAATTAATATATTACAAGCTAATAATTACTAATTTCATGAAGATTGAGCCTCGTAATTTTATTTAGGTCAAAACTTATAACAAATAATATTTAAGTAAAGATTAAAATATCATATGTATACGTATTTGTTTGAGTAATTTGAATTTGTCGATTTTAAATGGCGCAAAGGAAACAAGATATTGGTTTTTTTACTTTTGCAATAAACGCGTGGTATTCTATGCTTGCCAACATCTATATATCTATATATAACGAACGAGAGATGAAGCAAAAGAGTGTCTCGTAATCACGGACATTTGTCGCGCTAATCCAAAAGCGACGTAGCTAGGCGACCGATAAAGAAATGACCTTTCCATCCTTTTAAACGTTACGGTGACGTTTTCGAATCCATACGGATTAGAAAATCCAATATAGAAAGGAGGAGGGCCACGAGGGCGTAGCGGAACCGCACGAGCAGAAGGGTGACTGAGGTCGCGCCGAAGGGAAATTGGTAGAAGAGAAGAGGAAAGGTCGGAGGAAGAGACGGGGGTTAGTGAAGAGTGAGGAGGGGGGAGAGAGGGAGAGAGAGAGAGAGAGAGAGAGAGAGAGAGAGAGAGAGGAGGGGTGAAGAGGGCATAACACAATTACATGTGGGGTTGATGCCGAGCTCGCTCTCCGTACATGGCATAGCGGCGGGATGAAGGTCGGGGACCGCGCCGAAGGTGCCCCAACGGTGGGTGGGAAGATTGAATATGAAAGTTTAATGCGAGCAATATCAGCGCCACTGCCCCGGCCCTCGGCTACTCACTCTCAGACGTCTCGACTATCAGGGTGCCCATCTTGGCTGTATCTCTCTTTATATCGCGAGTATGCCGCTCACACCACCGGCGGCTTCGAGCGGGAAAGAGGCAGAGACGGTAGAAAGCACTTCGAATCTTTGATGTTCCGAGGTAACCCACAAGCCTCGAGTTTGTTCCACGCTTGCGCGTAAATTTCCGACCGATTTGAAAAACTGATTTGTCAATCCGCAGCTGCGCGCCGCTTTCGACAAGCGCGTCTATTTCGATGCAAACAACGTTTAGAATGCGACGCGCAGTGCGAGAATGTAATTAGCACCTCGTTGGCTCTCCTCTACATCCAAATATTGGTTATTTTCAATGCGCGAGAAATAATAGAATAGAAGGAAGCCTGATATCGTCAGTGACACATTCGATTTCCTCTACGCTCAACCTACAAATAGCTAAATATCATGATAGATCGCTAAATATCACATATATTTATTACACAATTTGAATTATCTATACGTTATCAATTGGCATAAATTGTCACACATATTTCAATATTACGTAATCTTTTATTTTATAAAAATATTTTTATATTATATTTCTCCCAGTTTAATGAAAGAATTGGTATAAACGTATTGTAAAACAGTTAGTCTAGTTTTCTCTCTTCTGGTATAAAAAAGGATAATTATCAATTAAAAACTTACTTTTGTGTAAAGATACTCTGCTTGTGGATGGGATTCACGAGCTTGCTAAGGCGTTTAGTGACTATGCCTTCGGCTATTTGTAAAACTTTCCTCATTAATTACCAACAAGATTCGATTTCGTCCCCCTCCCTTCATTACCAATCTCCTATCCCAACCTTTTCTCACTATGGTTTTACTCCTTTGTTCGCCACAGCGAAACCAAGTTTAATAGTGAATTAGAATGTGCGTTCCTGCAACCGGCAATTATCTGCCAATTAATAAACCAAACACGATATCGTCAAGTCATATTTTTAATTACAAATCGTATATCGCTCTCTTACTTAAAAAATAACACAAAAATTTAAATTTCTCGGAAAGGGGAAAAGTTATTTTTTGACAGAAAATTATTAAATAATCAAATATCGGCAAAAAGAATTTATTCTTAACATGATTAAATGTCTTTTTTGTTTTACAATTACTCTTTTTAAATTGTGACAATTTTTATAACTTTTAATGAAGTTAAGTTACTTTTGATTGATAGGATAATGTTTATTTAATTTATTCATGATATAGAATAGCTAAAAAATCATGTTTTCTTAGTTTTATTTTTTTTATTAAATAAGAGAGATACGTACACTGTTAGAATATTTCAGAAATGGTTGAGCTTTCGACCTATAATGTTCACTAAGGCCTTTTTACTTAGTATGACGTAGGTATACTACACGGAGAGAATTTTTTCTTAGAGTTTATCCTGAAAATATGATAGTCGTGGGATAACATATTGTATTTTAATGTAAATCTCTCATTGAAGAATTTTAATGTAAATCTCTCATTCATTAATAAAACTACAACAAAGTATAAAATAAGTTTGATTAATTTTACTGAAGTAAAAAGTGATAAAAAAAACTTCAAAATATTATATTGTACTACAACTACATTTTCAAGGTAAATTTTAAAAGAAAATTCTCTTCGTGTATCCATCATATAAATGCTAAATGGTTTTTTTTTAATATCCTGTGTAGACAGAATAAAAGATTTTACACTACAATAAAAAAACTTGGGAATTTTAGTTCCAATAATCTCAATAAAAATATCTAATTTTATTATTGACAGAAGACTGACTGGAAATACGCATGGGAACGTCACAGAAAAATTCCTCCTTCAGCTAACTATGTCGCCCCATTTTATCCTTTCAGCGTCACCTCAGCACATCTGCGAGTATATATCTCTTCGTCAAAGAAATAACTCCCGGTATACCTTGTACATGTCAACGTGGTTAAAAATACAGCTGTACAAGTACGCACGCGGTCGCACGAAGGCACACCGACACACCGATATTTCTTACAGCAGAAAGTCCCCTCTGCCCGGATGCTTCTTATGTTCCGCTATCGCGCGCCGAATAATGCAAGCTTCTTCGGAACGACACTGCTTTAGTGACAAGCGCCTTTAAGAGTTTAGACATGCGTCAACTTAAGCAAATACAGATCAGAGCAACGACGCGCGACGAAGTGCTCGGATCCGACAGAGAGCTGGCGGAAATGTCGACTGGCGATAGAGGTGAAGTAAGATAGTTGGTAACATTCACAGCGAGAGACCTCTAAAACAGAATGATGGTTACGTCATGCAACGACTCCACTGCTCTCAAGATAGGCGAAGACACGATATACGTTTATATGTGGCATCATGTATGCTGCGGTGCGTCTGCGGTTGTCCGCAAGCGGTAAGATCGCAGATAACACGGAGTTTACATACCTATGAACAAGAACTTGTACAACACGGGAAAATTTTAACTCATCGTGAATTCGGAACAAAGCTAACAAAAAGTTTTACAAGCTTTACTCGCGTTAGCGAACAATCTCTCTCTTTCTCTCTCATTCTGTTTATCTTCTTTTTAATTAATTTAAGAGGAGAACATATGCTTTGTTGAGAGATAGCAGATAGCTTAGCTGATAAAAGTGAATGTCATTAACGTGTGATTAATTTGTGCAGATGCGGGTGACAGATCGTACCGTACAGGATCTGACACGGAAGGCGCAGCAACTACGGACAACCCTACAACGCCATTTCCTACGCCGCCCCCAACCTTGACACCGAATCATCGGCAAGCTTCTCCGTTTCCCCTCGAAAGCACAAACTCTCGCCGGCATCATTATAACGGCAGCATATCTTCCGAGAGATCTCGCAACGGCAATGGTAGGGAGTTAATTAGAACCGCAAACGGGTTGGTTTGCACGCAAGATGATACTTACGAGTTCGCCACAAGATGAATCTCATCAAACGCAATTTTATACTATGTTGTACAACCGTGATGCGTGCGAGACAAGCTCATTCCGGTAGATGGATGCAAGACGAGAAATCCCGGTAGATGGACAATTTAAAGTGATAAGCAATGTGACATTACATAAAACAGCTTCAACTCTCGGTTTCAACTCACTCATGTCAAAATGACATTTCGCACTTCAATCTTTCCAGATTCTTTATACCTCTAGTTATTAAACGTTACGTGTGCTTTATGTCAAAGATCGTAACATTAAATTAAAATAATTCCACGCTGTGCAAAAATTATTTGATGAAAGTTAAAGGTTAGCTTACGTGAAAAATTTAATCTTGATAATTTCACTTTTTTAAACGTAATTTCGAAAAGATTAGAGAACTCGAGTACCTTCTTTGTCCACGTAATAATAGAAGATTGAATTAAGCGGTATGACTCTCGTTCGTTGGCGATACCGGCATTTTCTAAAGGAAAGAACTTTTTAGCAGGCTGTTCAAAAATATTCGTATCTTCTTTATTGCAGGTGAGACCGTTTACGCGGCGTCCACAAAAAAGACGACTTCCGGCGGCGGTACCTTAGGTCGAAGAACACGCCGAGGTCACGCAAGCGCCTTGAGCAGTAGCTCGACAGCGAGCGATCGTTCCGAAACCGTCTTCCCCGACGAACACACTCGCATGCATCTCACCAATGGTGAGGAAAAATATACTGCAGTTTTCTTTTCACATATTATGCATACGTCATCGCGCGATTATTATTTCATACGCATGATCACTGCACCACATCGCATGCTATCGCGTTCCATCTTACGATTAATTATTGTAATCGTTAAATCGCAAGGAGTGTACAAAGAATAAATTTCTACTATTAGAGACTTTAACAAAGAAATTCATTCAGCTTGACAGATCGGGATGAATCCTCGTCGATCGCCCTGAGCGGATCGACCCTTTAAATCACGACGTAAAATTTGCCGTGGTGCGATAAGTTAACGATCCATGCCTCAAATGCGATTACCGGACTAACCGAGTTACCGGCTGGTATCGAGCCCCGGAGTTAAATCGGGTTTCACGTAAACGTGTTCCTCGTTAAAAGCTTAATATTAATAGTCACCTAGAAACGCGCGAAAAAGGAAATTGCATATGAAACTCAACGTACTTAGAACTCTCTAGAGAGCCTATGCATGCATTCTTATGTCTTTTAAAAAGTCTTTCATGTATTTTGTAAGGTAAGTGTTATTAATTATTCGAGATTATTGATGGAAAGAAAGAGAGTTACAACAAAATACTTTTAGCCTTGATTTTTCGTAAATCTTTCATAAAACATATTTCCTATATTCCTTGATAATTAAGACTTTCTAATTCAGTAATAAATAATAACTTCAGACATAAGAATATGTAAAAAGCACATTATCTCTCTTGTTAATTTCGTTCTAAAGCAATGTACATAGTAATTTCAACTAAACAAATATCCTCATTACGAGCATTTCTCGTCTCGCGTTTTCCATCGATGCACGATTACGAAGCTTTGCAAAACGGTCAAAGGCGAAAGATCTTAGCAAAGGCAAACATTTCCGAGCCATGCGTTATCGTCTAGCGAACAATGCCGTAATCGACAAACTACATTACACGTCGGCTCATTAAATAACCAAGGGACCTTCTATTTTGGCAGTTAGGTTCATTGTTGTCTGATGTAGTAATATACCAGCGGCAACACCAACAGTGTCGGTAGCTGCAATGGCAGCAGCAAATGCGAGAGAGAAAGAGAAAGACTCGAGCCCCGGGCTAACAGAGTTAGCAGTTGGCGCCTGGGCTCGGCTAGTTAGAGCATAGACCACCAAAGTTAGCGTGACCCCGTCGACTATATTGTTTCAAAACGTCAACAGTATTTAGATCTCCTGTCGTTGCAGTACCGCGTGCTATCTTGACACACGCACTATCTCACTGTGTGTAACGCAGCTTCGAGCAGCAACCACCGAGAGATAAGAGAAAGTAGCTTTGCGGCTTTGAACCGGCAGCCGCGGTCGACGAGCGGCTTACGCTCGTCGGCTAAGTTTTAAACGAAATTTCGTCGGATCTCATTTCGTGTCGACGCGACGTCGATGTGGCGGTCACGTCGGGTTCGAGGGAAGCTGGCTGCCAATTAGTCTACCGATATCGCGAGACAGCGTGAGCGTGGATGAAAGGACGAAGGATAGCCGGGTGGAAAAGCTGGCGAGCGTTCGTACGGTAAGGAGCAAGAGCTCCACCGCATCTTCGTGGACGGTTACCTCTGGAATTTCGAAGGCCGCATTACTCTTGCCCGCTCGAGTGCGATCACATTACGTGTAGGTATCGTGAAAATTAGCGACGCGAATTAAGCTCATGATGTTCATTCATTTACAACATGTATGAACGTGTATTCAAGATATATTCTATAAACATGAACGCATTGAAAAAGGAGTTTGATAATAATTACCACACATAAATATTGAGTAATAAAAATAATTCCAATCAGTAACAAAAATAATTTTACTTTTATAAATATTTAGAAAAGTAAAATTATTTTTGGTTATATTAACCGAATATTTAATTGGAATCATTTCATTCAATATTTGATAGCTATTACCAGATTCTTTTTTCAGTGTGTATACTCTATACTAAAGTAATAAAAGTTTAATCATAAAGTTTTGTGTTTATCATTATCCAGGTAGCAAATTGATTTATTTAAAATATGAAATTTTCTGTTTTTTCTTTTTTTACTTTAAATTTAGGGATGAATTTAAGGATTAGGGTATGTTACTCTTAGTATTCTCAAGCCTACATTAGGAGAAAAAAATTGATTACAATTACCAAAATTTAATTATAATTTACAATCATTTTTGTTGTCAACTCTATATTTTTGGATAGAGCTAACTATTATTATCATTATATTATAACAGCAATAATTATAATACAAGTGGACTCTTAATTATAATCTTTTTATCATGCAAATATATACTTTTTTTTCAGTGTAGTTATCGATAAGCTTCCGCACAAAAATGTTTTGACGCATGACTTTATGAGTATGTTGATAATGTGATGACAAGCGTTATATAAGATGCTGCAAGATACCGCGTATAATTACCAGGATCTCGTAAGCAGTAATTTGAGTCTGAATCTGCGATGGGATATTGCTTGCCAGAATGTCCCTGCGGTCTAATGGAGGCATGTCGCGGCATCTATTAGCAAATGGCTCCCAACGGTCAGGGCTTACCCGCGTTAACCCCGTGTGTACCGCATCGCCAGAAAGACGATTGATATTACATTAGACCGCCGTAGTCTAATGTGGCCCAGTCGAGGAGCACGTTATTGAATTGGCAAACGCGTGAAACCCGATAACGTTACGGTAATTTGCTACCACAATGCTATGAAATGCACGCGCTAAATGAACATATATACTCGTCATTGTAAAATAAAAAATTAACACGTGATATATTTTACCGTACTATAGTATATAAGCATTAACTTTGTAACAAATCTATAAATAAATGAATATTGGAAATAAAATATATTTCGATTGAGGTTCTTATTGCAATTTAATACCGTGTATTATAAACTTTTGTTATTCTATAGGATTTTCAAACAACCATTAAATTTTTGTGAAATGTATATATACATTGTTTACATTTATACAGATAAATCAATTAGAAGAAATGCACAATTTTTGTGAAAATTAATAATTTTGCACAATATAAACGCGTAGAAGCAAATCACTGTCCGTGGAAAATAAATTTTCCGCGGGTTTTCGCAATCGTTCAACGATGGCCGGTAATTTTTGACGGGCTCTGATGCGAGTTGTTGCATTTAATGCCGCGGAACGAATCATGCGCACCAGTAAGCTTGATGTTATCAATTCGTTCGATTGATGTAGGTTTCACGATATACATGTTGCATACGCGGACGAAATAAATATTCGCAAAATCAATTGACTTATACAGTCAAGTAAAAATTTCAAAAATAACCATGTTATATCGCAACAATATGCCGGTATTTTTAATAAACTATAATACGGTCGAGTAAGTTCTATCGTGAGTAAATAACTTGTGTAAATTTTCGCTTTTTGATTGTAGTGTTTAATCAAGAACACTTGATTCGTCACTTCTAACTACAATCGAATACTTTTTGTGACAATGGCCATTCAGAACGTTATATATACGAATATGTGCTTGGCTAAGAGCCAAGTTTCGACGAATAGGAATAATTTCAAGCACCACTTGCAAACTATGCCAATAGTTCGTGTTCGCCATTATCATTATCGTTCTTTTAATTCTTTTTAGTCTATTTCCGATCTAGATTCTATGACAATAAAAATCTTTTATTACATTTAACTATTTACAACGGAATCTTTTTATCATTTGCAAAAGTAAAGGTTAATTTTTATGTTAAAAGAAAGCGCTCTCAGTGACAGTAAAAAGTACGCATGGAAATTAAAGTCACGAGACATTAGGTTTATAAATGACGTTATAACGGTCCTGTCTTACCACTTTACTACCATTACGTTAAAGTAAATAACTCAAATAGAATGTAATCAATGCGCAAGCTTAATTGTCATAAATTATCGTATAATGCTCAGGTTACGAGCAACGTGATATTTATGAACTTTCTCCTCCGTGAAAATTCATCGTAGCAAAGCTCCGTTTTATGGAACCTCATTCTATTCCAAATATATTTTTTTTTTATTTTCTTAATATATTTCTTGCCTTATAATTGCTAGAATAAAATTTAAAGACTGTTTCACTTATCAAATATATAAATAAATTGTTCGGCTCTATTATTTCGTTATACTTTGAAAGGATACAATAAAAGCGTTATATCTCAATTTATCATTGGTATAAATGGATCCAGGCGAGGCATGGATGAAATTTTGTGTGTCCAGTGCGAACGAAGGTAGAAACGGCACATAGAAATTGTACGAGACAGTTCGGACGAAGCATTCACGAATGCTAACTCGGTTTATTAGACTGTTTGGTCCGGAAGGAGTCAAGCCGGAACGATTCGTTGGGCTGGTTATCGGACAGTAGGTACAGTACCTACCATCGCGGCAATACCGCGCCAGTATAACGTTAGCAAATAATTCGTATTTACATGAACGTGTACTCCCCGATGCAGTGGAGGCGTTAGACCGACAAATCGAATTACAGACGCGAATCGCTAACCGCATCAAGTCACTGTCGGCTACCTTGCATCCCCTTGCACTGTCTGACTAACCCTTCTCGCCGCCCGCGAATGAGGGATAACTCGGTTGAACTCGGTATCGGTGATGCCCTGGCATACTACATAATTGGCTCACAACGATTGGCCAAGACATACCACCGGCGACGTTATATTGCTCAATAATGTGTCCAATTAGATGTCGTGCTAAACGCCAAATAGGTATATA